GACTCCCCTACCCTGGGGGGAAAAGACCTTGTCTATTCACCCTATCCATGCCCCTCACGATTTTATAAACCTCTATAAGGTCACCCCCTCAGCCTCCGACGCTCCGGGGAAAACAGCCCCAGCCTCTCCCTGTAACTCAAACCCTCCAACATCCTTGTAAATCGTTTCTGAACCCCTTCAAGTTTCACAACATCTTCCTATAGCAGGGAGACCGGGATTGCACACAGTATTCCCAAAGTGGCCCTAACCAATGTCCTGTACAGCCCCAACATGACCCTCCCAACTCCTACACTCAATGCACTGACCAATAAAGGCGAGTGTACCAAACACCTTCTTCACCGCCCTCTCTACCTGCGACTCCACTTTCAAGGAACTATGTACCTGCTCCCCCGAGGTCCCTGTGCTCAGCGACACTCCCCAGGACCTTATCATTAAGTGTCTAAGCCTTGCTCTGATGTGCCTTTCCCAAAATGCAGCTTCTCACGTTGATCTAAATTAAACTCCATCTGCCCCTCCTTGGCCCATCGGCCCATCTGATCGAGGTCCCGTTGTACTCTGAGGGTAATCTCCTTCCCTGTCCCACCACCCCTCCAATTTCTGTGTCATCTGCAAACTCACTCACCATCCCTCAGTCAACACAGTGTGAAACTGGAGGAACACAGCAGGCCAGGCAGCGTGAGAGGGGCAGGAAAGTCGACGTTTTGGGTCGGGACCCTTCTTCAGAAATGGGGGAGGGGGAAGGGAGCTCCGAAATAAATAGAGAGAGGAGGGGCAGTGCTGGAGAAGGTAGGTGGGATGGTGATAGGTGAGTGCAGGTGGATGAGGGTGAGGGGGGAGGTGTAGGGGGCAGGTGTAACACTTCCTGCGGTTGCGGGGAAAGGTGCCGGGGGGTGGTGGTGCTGGTGGGGAGTGTGGAGCGGACGAGGGTGTCGTGGAGAGAGCGGTCCCTCCGGAACATAGAGGTGGGGAGGGAAATATATCTTTGGTTGTGGGGTCAGATTGCAGGTGGCGGAGAATGATGCGTTGGATGTGGAGGTTAGTGGGGTGATACATGAGGACAAGGGGTATTCTGTTCTTATTATTGTTAAGGAGAAGGGATGTGAGAGCAGAGGTGCACAAAATGCAAGAGATGCGCTTGAGGGCATTTTCGATCACGGGGATGGGAGAGAGGAAGAGTTGTGGTCCTTGAAATAGGAGGACATCTGGGATGTTTAGGAATGGAATGCCTCATTTTGGGAGCAGACGCGGCAGAGGAGGAAGAATTGGGAGTAGGAGATCGCATTCTTGCAGCAAGGTGGGTGAGAGGAGCTGTAATCCAGGTAGATGTGGCAGTCGGTGGCCTTGAAATAGATATCAGTTTCCCCCCAACCCCGCTCCCTTCCTTAGAGCGATATTCAACTCCTCCTCGAAAACATTCAATTTCCAGCCCCGACCGCTTTCTGTGGTAGAGAATTCCACAGGCTCTCCCCCAACAACTCCCCTACTCTCTGGGTGAAGACATTTCTTTTCATCTCATTCCAATCCCATCTCCTTTAGACTGTGACCCTTGGGTTCTGGACTAACCCCCCCCCCCCCCCCCCCCCATCCTGGTCATTGGGAACATCCCTCCTGCAATGGCCCTGTCTAACCCTGTTAGAATTCTATAGATTTCTTTCAGATTCCTGTCTGGCACCTTTTCTGAAAATCTGTCTAAGACTCCTTCCTTACTACATTTTGAGCTCTTTCCAGTCTTGGCTTGAAGACGGGTTGAATTTATAGCTGGGGCTTGTGAGGACAGATACAAAACACACCTACACACAGTGGTTAGAAACCTGAATTGAGTCGAAATATTAAAAATATTTCTGGGATCATTGGAGACAACACACTGTGGAAGGTTCCAGCCATTCTGTTGGACGATAGTGATAACGCTAAAGGTTGGTTTCAAGGCTTTTTTTTTTGGGTCTGCCTGTTTCCTTCCTGATGACAAATTCACTGATGTGCCTGGCTTCCAGTACTCCAACTAGAGAGAGAGAGAGCCTTAGAGATTCTTTACCTGCAACGCAGGGGTGCCGAATGGCAGTTCCCAAGCAGCAAACTTCCAACACAATTGCCCAACAACATGCTCAGGTTTTGCAGTCTTTTTTTTTATTATTATTTTATTTTAAATCCTTTATCATTTTTGTACATTTCCAGTGGAGAGAATGGGATATAACCTCCAGGAAATGGGATTACAGGTGAGAGGGGTTCAGGCATCCCCTCGGTATCTCTACATCCCACAGGAGATCGCACCGAGTTTATTTGGAATTGCATCGCTCCCTTTGAAGAGCTACTGTTTGAAGATCCTTTGGTACCTTTTAGGCATTATATTCCACCCATTTGATTGTTCAATCATGAAACATGTTAAAATCCAACTCTTCCCAAATCTCTTTCCATATACGCCCACTTTTCTGAGTTGTCCTCCTCGATGTATCTCTGTCCCTTTCTCCCTATTTCTTTCTCATTGCCCACCAATTCCTACCTCAATTTTCCCATCTCTGTCACACTCCCTCATAATCCCCCGCAACGTTCTAGGAATCTACCCAGTCATTGCCGCTTCTCCAGCGACCATTCCTAATCTCCCCTGCAAGGCTTCCCCCTTCCCCCCCCCCCCAAATCTATACAAATCTTCCCAACTCTCCTTACGTTTTGTCTTTCCAAGTTATCCCACACATCACCCCAAATTTCATTTTTCCAACCATCATTTCCAATTCTCCCGATGTTCCTTAGTTCTCAACTCTCAATCTTTTCATGTGATCACCAATTTTCCCCAATTCTTTTGAATCCTCCACAATTCTCCCCAAAATTCTTTGATTCTCCCCAATCCACCCCCCCAATTCTTTTGCAATCTTGCCAACTATTCCCGATTCTACCCAATTCTCCTTCAATTCTTCAAATGACCCCACAATCCTCCTCAATTTTCCCCAAATCTCTAGCAATCATTTCCAATTATCTCCATTTGTTTCTACTTCCCAATTTTTTCCGAAATTTCCACCGATCCTTCCCAGTTCTCCTGCAATAGTTCCCAAATCTTCTCAATCATTTCCAATTCTCCCCAATTTTCTCCTGTTATCCCACAATCTTCACCAAAGTATCCCAATTCTCCAGTGATCCTATTTCAAACCAGTTTTCCTCATCTTTTTCCAAGTATTTATAAGTGTCCCCAATTCTCCCCCAATTCTTCTCAATACTCTGCAATTATCAATTGTCCTTAATTTTTTTGAATGATATCAAATTCTTCCCAACTCTCCCCAATTTGCTCAAATTCTTTCAAATTCTTCCGAATTGACCTCAATTGCACCTAACTCTTGAGATCTCCCAATCCATATCAATTTTCTCTGATTCCTTCAAATTCTTTCCAATTCTCTCCAATTCTCCGATTGCACTGAATTCTGCACAATTCTTCTCAAATTTCTCCAATTATTTCAAACTCTTCCTCATTCTCTCAGTTCTTCCCAATTGTTTCTGATTATACCCAATTCTTGCCAATTTCCATAAATTCTTTCAAACTTGAGACATTTTACATTTAAAAACAAATTAATTCTCCCCAAATTCTCCTATTTCTTTCCAATTCTATTATTCTTCCAGATTTACACCCAGTTCTTTTCCATTCCCCCACTTCTCTCCAACTTTCCCCAAATCTTCCCATTTTTTCCAAATCTTTGCATTTTCTCAATTCTCACCAAATCTAATTTTCCCTCTATTTTCCCAATTTTCCCAAATTTTGCCATTTCTCTCAATTAATTCCAAATCTTCTGAATTCTCCATTTCCCCCACTTCACTCCAATTCTCCCCGTATCATCCCACTTTTCCCAATTCTGTCCAAATCTCATTTGTTTCAAATCTTCCCGATTTTCCTAAATTTTGCGATTTCTCACAATTCACTCCAATTCTCCCCAATCTCCCCTATTTTCCCAATTATCTCCAAATCTTATTTTCCCAATTTTCCCAATTGTCCAAACTAACTCCAATTCCCCCCATTCTCCCCACTCCCCCTAATTCTCTCCAATTCTCCCCAAATCTCCCATTTTTGCCAAATTCTCTCCAAATCTTATTTTTTCAAATATTCTTCCCAATTCTCCCAAATTTTGCCATTTCCCCCAATTAACTCCAGTTCTTTCTAATCTTCCCACTTTTTCCCAATGCTCTTCAAATCTTACTTTTCCCAATTTTGCCATTTCTCCCAATTCACCCCAATTCTGTTCAATTGCCCCATTTTACCAATTCTCATCAATTCTCCACAAATCTTAATCTTTTTCCCCATTTCACTCCAATTTTCCCAAATATTCCCACTTTCCTCAATTTCAATTCTCCCCAAATCTTCCCGTTTTCACAATTCTCATTTCTCCCTGAATCTTAGTTTTCCCATTCCTCTCCAATTTCCGCAAACATTCCCACTTTTTCCAAGCCCAATTCTCTCCAAATCCTCTTATATTGCCCTAAACCGTTCCACTTTTTTTCCCAATTCTCCCCAAATTTTGCCATTTTCTCGATACCCTCCTGTTCCATCCCGATCTTCCCATTTCTCCCAATTCTCGTCAATTGTCTCCAATGTTTCCCAATGCTCTCCAAGTTACCCCCCCAACTCTTCTCCCACTCCTATCACAATCCTTAACAACTGCCCCAGCTCCAAAGAACATTAACTCTGTTTCTTTCTCTCTCTACAGCTGCTGAGCTTTCTCCCAGCAATTTCTGATTCTTTTTGTCCCTGTAGCCCCCCTGGTATCCCCGCTCCCCCCCACTCAGCCTACAGCCCCTTCCCATTCTCTTCCCTGTCTCCTCTCTATCTCTCTTGTGCCAATGGGTCTGGCTTTCCAAACTGGCCTCCAAATTGCCTCCATCTCCACCCTCAATCCTTCTCCTCAACCTCCCGGCCGTGGGATCCCTCCCAATTTTGTCCCAACCCCCTTAATGTCCTCTCTACCTTCCATTCTAACCCCCACCCAACGCCAACACCCCACCCCCCCCACCAACTCTGAGAGCCCTCACACGGTGACGTGAGTGGTCTGGTTCTGGCCGCGTTTCTGTGCATGGCGGTTGGCGCGTCTCCGACCCCGGGCGGCCCGGCCGTCGGGGTAGGGGTGGGCCGGGGCTCGCAGACGCCTGTGGAGCAGGTAGCAGAGCTCGGACAGGCCCAGGAGCAGCGAGAGGGCTGAGACGGAGCCCATGAAGGCCACAAAAACGTTCTTCTCCGTGGGGCGCGAGACGAAGCAGTCGGTGGGGTTGGGGCATGGCGGGCGCTCGCACCTGTACACGGGGCTCAGGAAGATCCCATACAGGAGGTACTGGCCCGCCATGAATGCCAGCTCCAGGGCGGAGCGCGCCAGCACGCAGCAGACGTAGGTGCGCAGGAGGGCGCCTCGGATCTTCACCTTCCCTTCCTCGTGCCCCTCCTCCCCCTCGGCGCGGCGTCGTCGGACGGAATGCAGAGCGTGGGCGACGAACGCCAGCGAAGGCGTGGAGACGAAGACCACCTGGAGGACCCAGAGGCGGACGTGGGAGATGGGGAAGGCCCGGTCGTAGCAGACGGCCTCACAGCCGGGCTGGCGGGTGTTGCAGGTAAACCCCGACTGCTCGTCCCCCCAGGCCGACTCGGCCGCTGACGCCAGCACCAACATGCGGAAGACGAAGAGGACGGTCAGCCACACTTTTCCCACCGCCGTCGAGTGCTCGTGCACCTGCTCCAGGATCCGGCTCAGCAGCGACCAGTCACCCATCGCTGGCCAACAACGACAGGGCCCACGGCCAAGAGTTTCCCCTTCCCCTTCCCCCTGCTTCTTCTCCTTCTCCTCCTTCTCCTCCTCCGCTTCCTGCTTCTCCTCTTTCTCCTCCTCCTCCTCCTTCTTCTCCTCCTCCTCCTTCTCTGGGACCTGGCCCTGTACCCAGGGAAGGGAGAGAATGGGACGCGTCAGAATCCAGCCAGGGCGAGGCCGAACGTCACCGTGGCTCGGCGATCGGCCCCCTCTGCGGAAGGGTTGACCCCACCCCGACCCGCTCAGGGCGTCCCCGCAGTTGGCCCCTAACCGCTCCCCCCCAACCTCACCAAGTGATCCTCAGTGTCGGCACCTTAAAACTCCCCGAGCAACCTGAACATTGACCCCTGACCCTCTCCGAGCGACCCCAGCATTGACCCCTGACCCTTTCCGAGTGAGCCGGGGGTTGACCCCTGACCCTGCCTGAGCGAGCTGGGGGTTGACCCCTGACCCTGCCTGAGCGATGCCGGCATTGACCCCGACCCTCTGAGTGAGCCCGGTGTTGACCTCCAGCCCTGCCTGAGGGACCCTGGTGTTGACCCCCGAACCTCTCTGAGCGACCCCGGCGTTGACCCCCGACCCTCTCTGAGCGAC